ACTTTTAGTTGTCATTGTACATTACTTATTACCCTTTACAATAAAACTGGCTGTTTTAATTTTTATTTAAATAGATATTCCTAATTGGATAGTAATATTCATCTTCGTGCAAATATTAACATTATGTAATCACTTCGTTTTCTAATGACTGAACCGGCTTTGGGTCGTCTCATTAATCCTTGCACTGGCTTTGCTTCTTCCCAGGGTCCATTCTCAAAGAAGTATTTAAAGAAGTATCTGTCAACGGACAAAGTATTCGACAAAGCAACTAGATGGAGATCCACGCTTACAAATTGCAGCTGAATAAGCATCAAAGTAAAAATATACCTGAATGCAACTTTGTTAGAATATTCCTGTGTTCTTATGTGTAAGAATTCGGATTTTAGCTCAACATTACTGCCGTGGAGATCGAACCAGCATTTGGCGCAATCGCAAAGAAATATTTCGGATTTAAAGAAGATTCGCACCAACGACTGTACATTATGGATGGGATCGAATTCTTGGCAAAAGCTGCTTCTGACGGTAAGCTCACGGAATTTCTACGTATTTTGAGTAGCAGTTGAAACAGAATTTTTGATGGGGAATCACTTTCATTGAAGTGAAAAAAGAGGGTTGTGGGAAAGGGAGCAAGGAGCTTATAGAAAATACTTTTAAAAAAAATGCTCTAAAGCGAAAGTTCGAATTTGGCCATTTTATACGGTGAAAATGGCATTTCAGGGCGAAAGTATGATGCCATTTACATCGACGCCTGTCCGTCGACGTATCACGATGGTGATGAGGTGCTGTGTCCTGCTGATGCATTTCTGAATATCACCACTATTGGTCACATGAAAAAAACCTTAGCAAAAACGGGTATGCTGCTTCTTGTTACAAACTCATTTCGTCATAGTTTTAACTTCCCTGAATAATAGATCAACTTGATTTTGGTCCTAACATCATAGGCTACTATATTCTGAATCCTGAAAATTATGCTCAGGGTATCCAATTTTTATTCCACGTAGTTCTATTCTAATTCACAATTCCACAATTTTAATTCCAAAAATTTTGTACCCCTAAATTTACCTAAAACTCTGGAATTTCGAAGTGAGTCTATCTTTAGGTCTTAAATCATTAGTTAGGACATTTCGAGGACCAGTAGTTCCGGGCTTACACCGAAATTTTTGTTGACTCACAATCGTGGTTGATATCTTCATTGTTAAGAGTGGCAACATCTCAAAAGCGATGGTGATCCTCAAAACACACACACACATACATACACACACATACACATACACACGCATACGCATACACACATACTCGCACATACGCACACATACACATACACACCCACATACACATACACACATACGCATGCACACATACGCACACATACACATACATGCACACATACACACACATACACCCACATATACACACATACACACATACACAGACACACACATACACACACATGCACATACACACACATATACATACACGCACACACACACATACACAAACACATATACACATACGCACACACATGCATATACACACACATACACACACATATACGCATACGCATGCACGCACATTTTCACACATACATATACACTCATACACACACATACCCACATACAAACACATACACACATACACGCCCATACACATGCACACAAATACTCATGTACGCACACATACACACACATACAAACACACACGAACGCACACCCCCATACACATGCACACACATACACATACACACACATGTACACACATACACATACACACACATACGCACATAATTTGCAAACACCTACGCATACACATGCACAGACATGCACATGCACACATGCATGCACACATACACTCACATACACACACATACACATACACACGTATACATACATACGCATACGCATACGCCCACATACGCATATACACATGTACACACATACACGTACACACGCATACGCCTGTACACTCGCACATACACACACAACATACACACCCACACGCACATACATAGGCATACGCATACACACATACACATACGCACACATACATGCACATACAAACATACGCACATGCACGCACATACACATACACACCCATGCACATACGCACACATACACACCCACATACACACATACACACGTATACGCATACACATACACATACTCACGCATACACACGTGCCCACTCACATGCATACATACACAGACATACACAAGTACACACACATACACACATGCACATCCACACATGCACACATACACTCACATGCTGATGCACACATAAAAACACATACATATACACACATCTACATACACACACATACGCATACACACACGTACACGCCCACACACGTGCACACATACACATACGCACACACACGCACATATACACACATACGCACACGTACACACACATACACCTACACATATATACACGTGCACACGCATACACACATACGCATACACACACATACGCCTACAGACATGCATACAAATGCACACACATGCACACATACACACACATGCACATACATGCACATACACACATGCACGTACGCACACATACACACATACACACAGACATACGCCCCACACACATGCACATGCGCACATGCACGCGCATGCACACATACACA